AAAGCATAGAACAGTCTAGACTCTTGGTACGCTAACGAATCAATGATTCTATAATATACGACGGAATAGATCGATACAAACATAATCAATCTCTTCGTATAAATTGTTATTAAGTTCTTCTAAAAGCTTAATGAAAACTTTTTTAAAAATCTCATAGTGACTTTCGAAGGAACATAATTGCACACGCAATTTTGTAATATTTCATTGTAAACAGAGACCAGCATTTCGTCATAACGTCATCTGTATGACATGATTATTATTATTATTGTTGTTGTTGTTGTTGTTGTTGTTGTTGTTATGATTGTTGTTATTGTTGTTGTTGTTGTTACGATTGTTGTTGTTGTTGTTGTTATTACTATTACTATTACCGTTGCTATTATCATTATCATCATTATCATTATCGTTGCTCTTATTAAGGCGCAATTTTCATGATGGAAATTTTGTTACAGCATTGCTTCAATGATATCTATCTACCTACCCATTTCTCTAGCGTGCAGATTTACAAATACATCATGTATTATCGAACTGTCAGTCAATAAATAAATCGAGGAATAATGAACGCCATACGATACGTACACACGTTCGCTCTTGTAATGATAAACATCTCAAACTGAATCGACAAGGTAAAAGGAAATGTAAATTGTTTATCATAATGAGCTTTAATTGAACAACTATATGGAAGAATACGATTTTTCATTACATTAACAGTGCGAGTAAAAATATTTTCAAGTTCTTCATTTAATAGTACTTGTGATACGTTCGAGAATATATATTATTTATCTTCGAGATTTGACGACAATATTAATAAGGAGCGTTTATTCCCTAAAATATCTGCCATAGTCTTTTATGTTTTTCGAATTATATGAAACAGATATCACGATATCTGTGCCTTGATAGATGTGCCTTGGCACATTTGGCAATTAAAGCTTTTAATGGGAACAACAGTGAGATTGAGATATTTTTGAATACTACCTATTGCCTATCGAGGTTAAGACCGGAAAAGCGTATAGGTCGATATTTACGAGAAAATAAAATTCTTACGGCCCTGCTACCATGTCACCGATAACTCGACGTCGCGCATTATCGTAAAATAAATAAAAATTATCTCGCAAAAATTAATCGAGCATCACAACGCCACGTTTCCGGATGATATTCCTCAGAGGTCTTTCCAAAATTATCAACTACACGCTATTTTACATACATGAAATTATATGTAAATTATCAATCCGCTGCCTTCTTGTGCGTTACACGAGTACTTGTACACTCGGTAAACAATGCGTGGGGGAGGGGGGGGGGGTATACGAAATACAAAAACCTCGCGTTAAAAGTAATCGGTCCTTCATTATTATTAGCATATGAAATTCCAAACTCTTTAAAGCTCGCGGGACAAAGATTATTTTGATATTTAACTTATTTAACTCACGAGACTGTCAACTTACAAGAACAGATCGGAAGCTCTTGGTTAGTAGTCATACTCTAAGCGACGCATTCCATTGAAATTCCCTTCGCCTCGAACGAATAAAGATAAAATTTCCACGCATTACAATACTCTCAGGAGGACACTTGTCGTGAAGGTGCCTGTGCGCATGTATAGTACGGAGATAAACAGAGACGAACAATATGAGCACTGCATTTACGCACACCGACGTGATATTCAGTGCGTACTTAGCGAAGCTGAAGACCGCAAAAAGAGTCTGAAGCATGAGAGGCTGTGCGTGCATCCAACACTTAAAGAATAACTCGTCGACTCTCTCGATCATCAAGATGAAGCGTAATTCTGCCAGATGTATAGGTTCGAGGCAAAGTCTTATCGACCTCGACGGTCCTGTTTGCGAATTTTTCCCCTTTCACGTGCGTAAAAAAGCACGCCACCTAAGGAAAAAGCTCGACGACGTTCCTTTAGTCTATATAAAGTACGTACCTTCTTTCTCTTGTGAAACGTTTTTTTTCTTTTCTCTCTCTCTCTCTCTCTCTCTCTCTCTCTCTCTCTTTATTTATTTTTGTTTTTTTTTGTTGCAAGTACTGTTATTCTCCTCGGGTTGAAGAGGTAATTTACGCAGCTGCCGGAAACAAATTCTTAGTTTAATTACTAATATTTCTTTTTCATTTGAATGTACAGTGCCCGACTTCATGTCCAATACCCGTTCGAACAGCAATGTTTATTTATGCGTAGCAGCATTCGCGAATATATTTATCGGATCAATTGGAGTTTGTGTGTGTGTGTGTGTGTGTGTGTGTGTGTGTGTGTGTGCGTGCGCGCATGTGTGTATCGGATAGTTTACAGAAGGTAGATATTACTTTCTCACAATTAGATTAGTATTACTGATCAAGCTGTTGTATTATAATACAATAGCAACGAATGCTAATCTTACTTCAAAAATTTTTAGCCGTAGATTTATTTGAGGTGCAAAGTTACGAATATTATATAATCTAAATAGAAAAATATTTAAATATTGTTTTTTTTTGTCTTGCACTATTTTACAACTATCAATGCTTACACAGAATGTGGTATTCATACTTTCATAAATGGACTTTATAATATCTTACAATGTCACAAGAATTATAGAAAACAATAATAATAATAATAATAATAATAATAAATAAGAAAATAAAGAAAATAAAAAAAAAACATAAATTACATTGAAACAATGTACATTAAATTTCTAGTGCTATGCCGACAACAATTAATTTTTATACAAAAGCTTAACTATGTAGAAAAAAAAAAAGAAAAAAAAAATGAAACATTAGCATCGATTTTATTCAAACCACAAATCCAGACAATATAATCATTTGCATTTATTACAGAGTAAAAAGTGTTAGGAGAATGTTTTTTATTTTTTTATTTTTTTATTTTTGTTCGAAGCCTAAGAAAGTACTTGATAATTCTGGTACGCACAAGCGACGAGAGAAAAGTCCCATCTAATCAATTAAATTAATAGTTACACTTAATTTTAATCTTCTTAATCTTCTTAATTATAATCTTACTCATAAACTTGTATGTTTTAAAAAATCTATTTCACATAAACTCTATAAAAGTAATCATAAAATACATGGTTTGTGAACAAATTTTGCAAATAACGATTTGTGTTTTTTTCTGCTTGAAATAAAATCTTAATATGCGAGTGTGGGAGATATCAAAATATCTGATATTTTTATTAATCCACATAATCGCATAAATGTATCGTGATATTTCGTTAAATGACTTTATTTATTTAAATAGTTCATACCATTCTCGTAAAACAGATTGTAAAGTCTGAAGATGCAGATCAACTGTAAAAGTGAAATGAAACCAAGATATCAATGGTATTACAATAATTAATGATTTTCTCAGATTTATTTGATAAATAATCTTAATAACGGATCTTGTATATCACTATATATACATATTTATTAGGAAATATTTAAAAAATACAATAATTTTATCAATAGATAAGATTGTTTGATCGAACGATTGAACATTTTTTACGTATAATTGAAGCCTGAAAATAGGTTATATAAACAGATATTCATCAACAATCGTTGCAAATAAATATTTAATACATTTTATAAGAAAGGTATGATGTTGAATAATAATATTACTAATGTGTGTGATTATATTTGGACTTTTTAAGCTAATGTTTAGTTTGTGCAAAAAAGTGAAAAAAGTGCATAAAATACATAGACGAAGGGAAAATAACAATTAGAGCTTTGATTCTCACGAATTATCTACCAAAGTCTGAGGCCATATTTTTAATCATTTATTTTTCTAAAATTTTTTTATATTAATAACTTGAAGAAAAAGAAATTGCTCGTTTCACTCAGTATGCCATATGAACTCGCGCATAGCCTATGAAATATTCTCGTAAGCTAAAACGTCAAGCGAAGGTTATACAATTGCTTTAAAGCGATTTGTCGTTTGCGAATAATAAACTCCGCTGAATGGTTATATCGCATTAATAAAATTTTCGGAATTAGTTTTATCGCAGTTCAATCTCGACGAGTGCATGGCCTTGGATTTAAAATACTTGGAACTAGCGTGGTTGAAGTAAGTACGTGAAACAGAAAACCAACATTGGGTTAAAAAATCATTCCGCTCAAATATTAACTTTGGAGAATAGAAATTAAAGTTTCTTAAGCGCGTTTGCGCTATATAAGTTGAGCACAGCTCTGTGCGCGAGTGCTTGTTGCGTGCGCGCGCGTGTTCGCATATATACATGAAAAAAAAAAAAATTTCTCTTAAAACTTGTCACTGAGTTCAGAGTATCGCTTATTGTACATACGAATCAATTGTTTTTCAGCTAAAAAGACTTTGCTTCTCCGTAAGTACACGTAACTTCTTTTTCCTACATTCGTTTCTAAAACGGAATGGTAAAGCTTCGAAGCTTTGAAGTATCCCATCAATGAATTATATTTATCGGACTTCGCGGCAAATATAACGCTCGTAACATATGAATCGTCCGTGCCGAATTATTCTTAATTTAGAACATCCTTTACAATTCTAGCTTCAGTTAATCTCGCGCCAGCTTAAACGATGTTAATATTATTATTGTTTGTTGTTATTATTATTCATATTATTATGGTGAGTGGTGGGGTACCGATGGTAGATGCGATGGTCATAATAATGAGTGTGGAAATGTGTGGGAAACACCGGAGCAGACAGTCAGAAAATTCAGAGATAGCGCGATGAAAAGTCGACTGGCAGCCGCTCGACTTCGACGATAAAGTTCCCAATGAAAATGCTACTGGGGTGGAAAAGCATTCTTTGCTCACCCTCCTTCTTCCTCTCCACCATTTACAGGCCACATCGACTGCCTGCTTATGCAAGCTCTTGGCATAGCGAAGGTGACGACGAGTGGATCGGACCCACCGCGTGCTCCATCACAACAATTCGATCGTTCGATAAAGGAAAGCCGGGGCGAAGAAAGCCACGAGGTCAACCGCAACGTCCCGTCTGCCTCCGGGTCCGCGGGAGACTCGGATGCGCTCGTACATTACGCGGTGCGAGTAAGTGCAGCACTCACTTGTCGTAAGTCGAGGTGGTGGCCGGCAGGACGCTGTACACGTCCGCGTGGGTGATGATCATCGTCGAGTCCCTCATGTCGTCGCTCTCACACCTCCCGGCACTTTCTAGCTCGAGCTCGCCTCCGATTCTTCTCCTCCCATCCTCCTATACCGTGAAATCGCGCCTTCGTTGTATCCGAGCGGTTGGGGGGGGGGCGGTGAGGCCGGGGAAGCCGCGCGCGCGCCCGCACACGTCAGCCGGCCGCGAAAGTCAATGCGCAACTCGCGCACTCGCGCACACGCGCGCCGCTTAGAGCGAGCGGCCGCGAGCGAGAGACAGAGACAGGGAGTCGATCGGAAAGAGCTAGATAGAGCGAGATGGTGGGGGTTGGGTGTAACGAGGGAGGGAGGGCGGGATGGTATGGCGAGGAGCGCTCTTTCTCCTCGGATTTTCTTTCTGCCCCAGGCGGCTGCTACCGTCTCGCGAAGGGGCGATTTTCTTTACGAGGGTCGCGGGCGCTTTTCTCGCTGGTGTGTCGCATATTCAGGCTCGGGCTTCGTAAGAGAGTTAAGAGCTCGTCGTAGTCTTGGTGGGTTCGTCGTCATGTTGGTCGTCTGCTTCGGAAAGCGGTGGGATGTATCGAGCGAGCACCCTAATGTCAGTACTTGGCAACGTGGTTCTGAGGGCAGTTTCAGTGCCGAGAAATTGCCAGTGTTTTGGGATTGATTTACGGGTAGGCGAGAGATGTTTTTCAAGCATGGAAATTGATTGGCTCGAGTTTTCCCATCCCAGGATCTCGCCACGTTTTCTTCATTTACTCTTCCAATTAATAAATAATCGAGAGATACTTTTATTAAAGAATTCTTTATGTAAATAGCCTATCTTGGCGAAATCATTAGCTATTTAATGGTAAAAGCCACGCTCTTTCTTAAATTTACGATCTTTTGTTATTAACGACTAGATTAAGACTCTATTAATCGGTTATTAGGAAAATCCGTTTTAATCGAATTCTGCTAGCGCGTGCAAGTTTTCACAGCAAATTTAGCCAAATTTACTTCTTCAAAAATATGAGATTTTTATGGTTTATTTGCGCAATTATAATCAAATAAACTCATCTATATTATTAATATTTTATGTACTGTTTATGTTAATTAATTCTTACGTGGTTGTAGTTTAATCATTTACTGGATAGAAAATAAATGGAAAATCATGACTTCCAACACGTACTTGTGCGTATAAAGCTAACAAATTTGTAATTTTCAATTAACCAACCAACCATCCATGATATTGAGACTATTCTACACCGAATCTTGTAAAATATTATTTTAAAACGCTGCTTAATCAATAATATCTCTCTCTCTCTCTCTTTTTTTTTTTTTTTTTATCAATTTTATTGTAATTATATGCTTTATCTAAGTTTAGGAATTATGATGGTTAATTAACATTCGGTAGTTGTCGCTTGTACATTTAAACACAAAATTCGAATTTTGACAAAGATGAATTATGTGGATGTATCGATTGTCTCGAAACCTTTTAGTATTAATTGTCTTAAATTTTCTAATTAACAATATGAAAAGAGAATAAGAAAAAGCAGAGCCTTGGGGTGAGGGGGGGGGAGGTGGAGAATGAATCTATGCATTGATGTCGTTCAGCCTACGCTCGACAAAAACCTTACAATCGAATCAATTTGGTTTTCTGCGCTCGAATATTCTCGATCTTAAATCATGCCTACAGTATCCAATATTTTCTTATATATTTATAATCGTTGGACCATCGAAAAACTTGCGCTTAACACCAAATAAACATTCATTTATGTTTGCTAATAATCAAGCCTTAAACTCATTGTCGCTAATTTTTCCAATGACCTTACACACTCCACCGTTAACAATCTACATAAGGTTTTATCTATCGTTTCTCGCACAGCCTGAATATCTAATTAATTTAAAGATTTTCTAACGCAATTCAATATCGGGATGACAGTTTGTGATTTCATGAGAAGCTTTCGCAACGCTCCGATAAATAAATACACCAGGAAGTATGAACACCCCAATATTAATTCAATGAAATACGTCGTCGATGGACAATTGACGTGGCACTGGCCAAACCATACGACCGACGACCCTTGGCGTATAACGATAAGTCCACGCGTCACTATTACACGACACAGTGAGAACGAGATGCAACACTTGAGAAGGACGCTCTTAACGCAACAGAATTTCCTTTCCAATTGTGCCCGCGTCATTTATAGTAACGGAACACTTGTTCGCTCTGACATTTTTCATGCGCCTTTCTCCTCGGGCACGTCTTTTCGGGCAGCAAGAATTTTTACGTCCATGCGCACACGTGCTGTGCTTTCATTTCCTTTTTCTGCGGTTGAGTAACGCGCACGATGATAAATTTCATAAATATACAATGTTAAATCTAGTAATCTTCGTGTTACAAGAGGTCACTTATAATAAATACATCGTTATTATATTTACATTTCATTGGTAAACTGCCGTTCTTCATTAATTTATGTTCATGAAAATTTGGAACTGTACTTCTCGATTACAAGCTTCGATATATAATACATAAGATTCTTTCGAGATTGCGATTTACAATATTTTAATGGGCTGGCTTAAATCATCTGACATTTTAATAATTCATAGTGAAATGTATTATGTCTTTTATTACTTTACGAATGATATCCCTATTATATAGGAGCTTTCTTTAATTAGCACAATATTCTATTGCAGATAATTTTTATTTAACTATCGCCGCAATTATGGAAGTATTATTTTCAAGCTTGAATTACTATCGAGAGGAGTTTTTATCCTCTTGGCCAATGATCGTCCCGAACACTCTAAATAGAAATTAATTTAAAGTGATTTCTGCTATTGGACGGTAAAGGACACGACAAGACTGGCATAATTAATGTTCTATGTTCTGTCTTACGTATCCTCATTGGGAATTATACAGAAAAAACGTAGTCTGTTCGTATTATGAAATATTTTCGGAGAAGGCAAAAAAAGCTTTTGAAAATGTGCTTTATTAATGGATTCACACGCATTACAAGAGCCGAAAAGTATAAAAATAATAATAAGTTATTGTTATGTCAACTAATGATCGATAGGCTGTTAGCTCATTGTAAACAATTATCAAACTATTTTTTTATAATTTGTCTACAATTTTATAATTTAAGGTTTCATGTTAATTTCAAAATAAATAATTGCTTATTAACATGTAAAATAAGAATACGAAGAAATGACATAATGACAGAAATGACAACAACAGGAAAAAAATGATAAACAAGGTTGACACTGAAAGTTTTATAAATACTCGCATGTAAAATATTATTTTATTACACTATGAGTATATGTAATACAATATAACAAATGCGAATATCAACTTATTTTTAAATTATTTTACAAGGGTAATACAGTTACTAATTGTTTTTAATATTTTGTGAAAATTTGTGTTATTGCGAATAACTGTACTATGCAATACTTGATGCACTATACTTTATTAAGCTTTAGTACTTTGTTAAGTGAGCTTTATTATATTCGTATGGCCATAACTCAATAAATAATTCCGGGAAATTTTCATTATGTTGTAAAAGATATTATAATTTGGTTTAAATAAATCTTTTTAACGATATTATTAAGATATTCTTTATTTAATATTATCATTTATTAAATAACGATAGAATATCGCTCTAATTTTTTGCTCAATATTTCTAACTACTTTTATAATTTTTGTATTATTATTTAAATATAATTAAATAAAAAATTAACAATTTATTATAATAAGAAAGAAAATTATGTATTTACTTTAAAATTTTTTAAAGTTCTTAACTAAAAATGTTACATATCAATTAATATATTATTCTTCATAATTTTTATCACTTCAGTATCTACTAATAATGACAATGGCAATGACAGCATCAACAATAATAAAACAAAAATTCTATTATTATTATTAATGTAGGTATATCTTGAGAATTATTTGTATAATATCAAACGATGTATAATAAATTGAATCTAAATGTAGATGTTTAATTGAAGTTTAATTATTTTTCATGTTTTCATAATGTTTAATTGCTTAACTTATACATGTTATTTTTACAAAATAAATATAAATATACATAATTATAGAAGGATTTAATTACAAATTTTGAATAAAAACTTGCTGTACCTTAATATCTTCTCATTCTATCAAATATAATGCCACTTTGCGTCTGTGTATGGCAGGTTAGTCTATAGACAGGCGTAACATATAAACTGACAAGATCATTCCATCATATATTCCCAACACAAACGTATGACAGAAACTGTTGACTCAACACCATTCAATAATTACATTATTTGCGGTATATAAGATAAATGCGTATAAGATCCTATAAGTAAATGATTGGTCTTTCGTTACGCTATATTTATCATTTGACGTCAATTCATACCTTAATACCAATACAATGAATTTGAATTTCGCATTCAAAAGTTATAAACACAATATAATAAATAGTAATAATACATTACTATCAATAAACATATAAAACGCTATGAAGAATAAACGATAATTTTATTAATTGTGTAATAAATATGAACTATTATTTAAATTGTTTCAGTGGGCTAAATAGTAAAAATTATAATAGTCGTATTGTATTCAATTACAAAAAAAATAATATAATAATTAATCGTTTAATTTTATATGCATTTAGTTGCATAATTAAATCTACATTTCTGCACAGAATTATTGTGAAAATGTAATTTGTTTGCAAATGTTAAATTTTATTTTTAACATACATTTGTTTAAATATTGTTGATATTCAATCATGGATCCATCTTGTTATACTGTCGAATTTTTTTTTCTTCAAAACTTTTAGGTATTATTACACTAAATACTATTAACACGATTTTAAAAGAGTTAAAGTGATATTATGTCGAAGATGTATATAAATTATATACTTTTAGTTATTGGATTTATATTTATCTGTATACTTATGAAGTCAGGCATTGCAATTACATTTAAAATAATGAATTTATAAAATAAATATAAGAAACGTATCGATGAAATGAAAATATTCAAAATGGAGAACAACATTACCTTAATCTATATAGAAGGTAATTAATTATATTACAATATAATTTTACAATTATTCGTGTTTTTTTACTTACGACAAAATTATAATATTAAATTAATAGAAAATTTAAGTGAGAAGATTACTGATTCTTGATTATGATATTCGGTTTCGATAAATCAAAAATTATTTATGTACATAACGAGGCTAAATTTAAATTAAATTTTTATTTACTATAACGATCAATATTACTTAATCCATCGAATTACAGAAATTCTTTAGAAAAAGCTTAGCTATCAGATTGGCGTAAGTACGAAGAAATTAGTGAATTTAGTAAGAATAAACATACGAATGATGAAATTTACATCGATCATCGTTTTACAAAATATGGATAAATACAAAAATATACGCGATCTATTGTTATAATCGCATACATTCATAAAATTTCTCAAGATTCTGTCACAACATTGTTTTGTCTTGTGTTTGGTTTGTTTTTTGTTTTTTTTTTTGTTTTTTTTTTTGTTTTTTTTTTGTTTTTTTTTGTTTTTCTCATGGAGAAGAACGCAGAAATGATCTTTAACAGTTAAGCTTGAAACGTAAACTTTCATATAAACAAAATTCAATTTTATTCTTCATTCCTCGTTTTGCATTTTTACAAAGCTCTTTTACATTAATATTGTCATGAGAAAAGAACGAATTGCAGGTAGTATCATTGCTCCTCGTTCTCCAAGTTCACGATACGGCATTACAGGATCATTTTCCTCGGCTCTTATTAATGATTTGTTGCTCCACTTTGCGGGCAAAAGACCAGATATCGTCGGCCAAGAGTTGGGGCTCTTCCATCGCGGCGAAATGTCCACCTCTCGGCAGATGTGTAAACTGTATGATGTTAGTGTAGTGCTCCGACAGTAAGGACTCGGGTTGGTAGAAAATCTCATTTGGGAACATGGCACAGGCGGCTGGCACCTCCACCGGAATCCTAAGAATCGAATCAAGTGGTTATACGGTCTGACAAGTGCCAGACTTTGCTTATTATCATTATGCGGGGGATTGCCTAACTCTTGTATCTTTCGTTCTCAGTTTATTTCTTCGTAAATGGCTTTGGTACGTGCATTATACGTTTTTTTTCTTCATCAAAGCTATTGATCGCATCAGTATTTGTTATATCATTCGCGTTCATTAGCCTAATACTCACTTATTCAATTCTAGTTTTCTAAAGGCTTTGTTAAAGGTTTCGGCGTAGAGTCGTTGACTGGTTGTGATGGAGCTTGTGATCCAGTATATCATTAGGTTGTCGAGTAGCTCGTCAACGGTAAATTTCTGGAGGAGGCCACCGTCGTCGCGGGCGGTGAAGTTCGGATTCGTCCAGGTGCTGAATTTTTCGAGAACGTAAGCGGCGAGACCAGCCGGAGAATCCGTAAGACCAACACCTTGTGATAACAATAATAATATTGACATTAGAAAAGTTTTCGATTTTCTTCATTAAAGACAACTTGTTGTTTCATTCGTATTAAGGAGATTTTTAGATCTACTGATTTACGCTTAGTCGATTCAATCAACAATCATGTATTTAACGTCGAATTTAGTAAAATAATCAAATGATTATTGATATAATTATTGAACTAATTGATAAATATTGAACTAATATAATTATCGAAACATTAATTTATTAAAATTATTAAATTTGTAATAAAAATAAAGATTGTTTAATATTAAACAAATTATTATATTTATTATTATTATTGTTATTATTATATAAAGATTTTCTTTGCTCACGGAAAGTAATAATTTAGAGTTTGTATAAAAAGAGGGAAAGAAAATCTTTAAAAAATTAAGACTCTTCTCAATTCAATGTTTCAACATAAATCGGCAGATTATTTTATTTATTAGTTAAATGATTATGATTGTTATTATTATTATTTTAGTTATTTTAGTTAAAGGGCGGTTACAAGGACGGTTACAAGGACGGTTTCTCACTTACCGACGGTGTCTGGCTTCGTTGCTTGTAGGTGCATGTAACCACTTTCACTTATTAAGCGAGTCAAATGATCCGATAAGGGATACATTCTCGAATGGTATTCGCTGTCGATGACCAAATAAGGAATGTACGAGCCAATGAGCGACTTCAATATTGATTTTGATGTCTCTACGTAGCATATGCTGGCATGTGCACCGATCACACTGTAATTATTACGGAATATGAATACTTTATCGATCTTAATATTTTTCAGCTTTTCCATATCTTAATATGTATTCTTAAAAGAAGAATAACGATACGAGAGAAAAATAAAGAGGAAAAAAAATTACTTTTTAGGATATAATTGAGCTAGAATTGATGTGATGATAGAGCCCCAGTCACCACCTTGGACATAGAACTCTTCAATGCCGAGTTTCGACATTAAATTCTTAAATACAACGGCTATCTGAAATTAAGGGCAGAACATTAGTAAGGTCGTGAACAGTTGCACAAAATATTATTTTCTCTCCTTCCTCATCGCATTTGACACTTATAATTTACATATTGGGAATGTGCCTACCGGCCCTACCCTTATTTTAAACTTCACAAAGCCTATCTAACGTGGATGTTCGTATTTGCATTTACAATGATAACGTACATGTGCGGCGGAGAGACCAGGTTTGCTGGCACCGCTGGAGTAGCCGAAGCCCGGGATCGATGGCGCTATCACCTCGAAGACGAAATCCCGATTCGCTTGGGGCCTCGTCAGCAATGGTATGATCTTTTGGAACTCCACGACGGATCCTGGCCAACCGTGGACTATCAGTAGCGGCAGGATGCGCATATTCCGGCCCTTGGGTATCTCCGGCTTAATCCGGTAGAAATGGATGTCCAATCCTACGAGTGGACGGGCGCAAGTGATGAGCTTTGGTTCACAATCAAGAAAGAGCCTTTACCATCGTTTTCACGTCATTGGGTAATAATTAGGTAGAGAAACATTATCGACGAGCTCCATTATGGATGTAAGGGACGCGCAAAGGAAGTTGTGGGTTTGGCAGTTATTACCAATACCAATAATGGATAATTTATTGCAAATTGCCGTAAATGTTATGCTCGTTGCGTAACATCAGCATTCGTCGTTGTGAATTTTTATCGCGTGACCACTGCTCTATGCTAAGTCTTGAAATAAAATTATAGGTAAACGTCGCGATTATCGACAATGTGACGTTACGTGCTCGAATTATGCGATCGCGCATATGTAAGAAATAAAAATATTTCGACTGTGTGCATCGAATGTACATCGCAATCGATATTCTTATTTTCATAGAATTAATTGATTTCATTCTAATTTACTGTTTCCTTTTATTTATTAATGTTTTTATTTTAGTCATTCGGTCAACATTAAACAATTAAACTTCTTTTTATTCAAAAGAAGCGAAGCAGCTTTTTCTACTTATATTATGACTATATTATTATATGGTATTAAGTGATTATTATTAGAGTTAATTATTATTTAAAAAAGATAAATTCGCGGTCTATTTCTATTAAAAATATATTAATTTCATTGTCTGATCTTAAAATGATATTAAGATCGCTCAAAATAATGAACAAATAATTGAATTTTACAACCAAAGTCGTTACGTTCTTAATTATCCAAGTTTGTATTATGTGCATTATAAAATATCATACTGACATGCTTAAAATGCATAATTAAAACTGAAAAGAATAATTGAACTGAGAATTCAACGATAATATTAGATAATTTAGACTTATTTAAGTATAATTAAAATCCTTTTTATCCAAATTATCACAATGTTATTATTAATTTTATTAAATGAGACGAATAAATAGTAACAAAAGAAGCTCAAAGAAACTAATAAATCATTGATGAACATAACTCAACCTTCCAAGAGGCATGTATTTACCATAAAAATAGATTCATCATCAATCTGACTCAACAAGAGTTGATAAATTGTTACGTATAAATAACGTTGTTTACAAGTTATATTGAAAGTTTCGTATTCTATCGTGAAACAAAAAATCAAAAATCGAGTATAAATAACATTTGCAAATTTTTTCTAAGCGTGCAAAGAAAGAACAAAAAAAAAAAAAAAAAAAATGAATGAAAAAAACAAAAAACAAAAAGAAGAAAAAAATTAAATAAAAACAGCAGAGACGATGAGTTAAAATGATTGAGAAATTTAATAATTACCTTGGATTTTGGTGATAAACTGCGGATATTTATTAAGTAAAGCCTGCCTCTCGCTCCAGTTATATTTATTTCTCCAGTAATTTAAAATTGTCTTCAAATAGGGCGTTTGTATGCCGTAAGTCCATCCTACACCTTCCAATGGCTTAGCAAAGTTTCTCGATATATCTAGACGATGATTTAAATCATCGATGACCTGTAAAACTCGCGGTACTTTAATTTTATGACCTCCATTCGCGAATTGCGCTAACTATTTTTACCGAATAAGCGTATATCAATTTCTCATTTTACTCGGTACATCCGCAAGCAATATCTAGTGTAATAACGGTGAGAAATTAAGAAAGTAACTGTAACGCGCTTACACTAGTTTACAGCTTAATTTTAATTGCGAATAAACAGGTATTGCAACTTATCTGTGTCAGATTTTCATACTTTTCATTGCTAATCGGTGAAATTTATTGCTTAAGCAAAATCTAATTCAATTTCCATGTGAATATTATCAGTTTATACAGTTGATACTTAATTACCTCTTTGGCAACATCAATCTCAAATGGCTTGATTTCTTTAGAATCAGGAACTGCTTTACCAGGACCCCAATAATCATTGTCTAATTTTGGAATTTCTATCGATTGTCTATACCTACGTAGTAATAAAATGTTAAAATTTTTCATAATTATACATCTTCCATTATTTATTAGCATAAATTTTTTAGGAAAAAAAATTGACAATTTTTATCGTTAAATGCTTATGATAGACATTTCTTCTTTTTATTCTATTGCTAATGTATGTAAGGATGGTATTTTAAATTTTTACAGCATCTTATCAGTAGAGTTATCAAATAAATTTCCATTCGTACCGAATGCATATATTTTCCGCTTTTGAAAATCTTTTCTAAACGAAACGGAATATCATCAATATTTCATTTTCTAAATATTATCATTTTTGTGTAGTTCGTTATATATTTTCTACGTAAACGTACTTACTACCATTTATGTGACGATGTTTTGGAAATAAAATTTGGAAATAAACTAATCATAGATTGTTATAAACATTAATTTTTTTGCTTACATGATTTAAAAGAACTAAAGTAAAATAAACACTTCAATTTGACATTGATTTAAACAATATTAATAGTAAATTTGCAATAATATTAACAATGCAAAAGTAAACAAATTATATTTTATTAATTCTTATTGCATCATAGATTAATAGTATTAATTGAATGTCAATCATTTATGTAAATACATTATAAATAATATAGGTTGAAATTCAGTATCGATAATCATGAATGCTAGTGTTTGTTTTTTTATTGTTTTATTATGCGAATGATAAATATGTTTCTTATAATATTTATTATTTTTATTATCTTTATTACGCATTATCGTTGATTGATGATAAAAACATTGTTAATTTAGTTAACTACTTAATCTCTGTAAATACAGAGAAAATCAGGGTAACAATCTATACAATATTTATTATTTTTCAACTGATTTTTAATATACCTTTGAGAAAAAAAAATTGTAATAAACTAATAAATGTCAATTTTCTAATTATAAAACCTAATTTTATTCCTTCACGCGCATATCCACAAATTAGGCATATAAAATGTTTAAAATAAATTGATAGCAGAGAATTTTTAGTGGATAAAATTCTAAATACATTGAATATTACATTACAATTGTATAATAAATATTATTGAGCGTCTTCAAAGTTTCAAAGTTATTCATTCAAGCGTATTGTGAATTTGTCATTAAAGAAAATAATTTCAAAATATTCATATTTTAACGTTACAAACACAATAATCGCCATCTCCAATTAATTCTATTCAAATACTGTATTTAAACACAATAAATAATTAATTCAATATATTAATAACATCAAACTATCGTAATATTAAACATTTACGTAAAAAACAAAATTCATCAATTCAACGATACTTTGAAAGATGACTTTACTCGAAAATGTCGGCAGAGCAAAATTTATAATTCTTTGATAAATTCGGTGCTAAATGTATAATTAAGCGCATACTTATGTGCACTTGATAACATAAACAATCTTCGATTAGTTTCACATTATCATTATTGAACAGCGATTAAGCGGATAATATCTCCAACTGCTCTGCGTCAATCAAATATTACATTCATCTTTAAGAAAATAGCAACGAATTGGCTTTTGATTACCCACCTAAAGTGCCAGTCAACGGTTATGAGGCCCAAAATCAAAACGGCTGCGCCCTTCCACATCCTCCCGTTTAATCGCTAATGATTGACTCGCCGGTCACAGCGCCTCGGCAACGACTGATCCCCAGTTCTTATTACAAAAGCAAGAGGCACTTCGGCGATGTTTGTCGACGGCGCCGTCGACACCGTCGCTACCACCGCTGCTGCCACTCCCATTACTGCGGCCGCCGTCATCCGCACCGCCGACACCACCAACTTCAGAGCATCAACCTATCCGGATAGCCAGCTGTTGTTATTCGTACGTCCAATGTCTGGCAAGATTCGCAGATACAATGTAATGGTTGTAGTCGGTCAGTCGTAGAGGCAGTCGATTACTTCCATAACGAACGGCAATGGATTAAGTAGGACAGAGGAACTCGCTCTAATAGACACAGCGATTATTTATTCGAGCGATGAAATTCTATTATTTTGAAGGAAATGCTTTCAGAGGCGACGAAAGATTTGAATTTATGCATTAAGACGCACAGTCTGAATGTAATTATGCAAAACAAAACAAAAAACGAGTTTCTATCTTTTGTTCCCAATACAATTCCTTTGTTTATAATTCATCGTTTTTATATGACATGTATTTGTATTGTGGAATAATTTCAAAAAGGATGTGTTACTATTACATTTAATGGATTACTGACTTATACATTTATCGCGTAGGTTTAGCTGTTAGTATAGGCAATTAGATAAATCGATATAATCTTATACGAATTTGATAGTAGGAAGTACGTCCTAAAAAATATAAATTTTAAAAATCATACGTTACAGAAGATGCACACTCATGATTTCAAATTGGTTTTTCATTTTCTCGTAAATAATTGTCAATCATTGTATATTTTCATTTTCAACTTAAAAATATAAATTTCAATTTTCATTTCATTCTATACTTCATTATTTCGATTAATGCATATACTCGGCGATTATCAGCAAATAATATTATATTCACAATAATTATATCACCATTACCATATTATATCCAGTAAATACTTAATATTGAGAAAGAAAATTTTCAATCCGGATTTTATGAATTTGTAATTTTTTTTTTTTTTTTTTTTTCACATTAAACTTGATTTTATTTATAATTAATAGAATATTATTTCTCTATTTTTTCTTTTATACCAATAAGAGTTTTTGTTGATTTTCTGACAATCGTACTTAATGTACAAGAATTTCTTAACATGTAACAATTATTACATTAATATTGCTATATCCATAATGTAGGTAGATGATTTATAATGAGAATTCATCAAACAAAATTATAACTTACTATCTTATTTCTGTTTTTATTTCTGCGTGCGTTTTACCATAAGTAGATGTATAAAATCATTATAAATAATTAAAAATATATGTAAAAAAATTTCCTTTACATATTTTGTTTTCAAATTAATTTATTTCTATACATTTTCATCAACATAATCTTACAATATAATATTATTAAAATACAACTTGTAAAATTTACTCGAACGAAGAATAAGTTTTCGGAAATTTTTACTCATAAATTAATCAACGACCAATACAAAAATTACTTATCATATTTATGATAATAAAAGTGAAAATCATTGTGAAAAATGCACACATTCAATACACGAGTAAATATTTATAAAATGTTGTATGTCATCTGCAAATGCTACACCTTCGAATGCAAAAATATTATAAAATTTAGATTTTTATGACATACAATATAATTTTTGTTTTTTTTATACCTAAGTGTATTCATTGACGAAGAAAAAATTATAGATATATTTCATCTCGTTTTTTTTCCTCGCTAATTAATTTTCTAAAAGAATTTTCACTCGTCACGGTTGGCTGCAAGGTTCTACATATTTCAAACTAAAGTTGGAAACAAATTGAAAATTATTGTTTACAAGCTCTCGAGTATCATTAAGTATAATTATAATACTAATTTTTTCCATTTTTTTCAGAGGAACAAAGAATTTAATCATTTAATCATGTTAAGTCTTCTCTTTTATTTTATCGTACAATTGTTAATTTTTCTTTATCTTCGAAACTTTTTCAAACCAATTTTTTAAAAATTTTGTTACCAATCTTGTCTAGATTATTTATAATAATACATCATCAATATAATTTTTATTATTAACTATAATTCTGTATCTAAAATTAAGGTATATTAATTTAATGAGCATAGTATTGATGAATGATATTTGCTCATGATGAGTAATTGATTGAATATCGAAATTAATGATCACTTGGCTCGCTTTCGGCTTGTATACAATGGAGTGACACTAATTGTTAATACGTAAACAGATAAACGTACGCTGATCCCTAAGTCGACACTAATACCATAACACATTGTTATGCATATCACACACTGATATAATGTCGGATTATAATATCCGTTATGAAATTACTCACTTTCAGTTTTCATTCCTGTCGAAGATCTTTGTTAACGTTCACTTGTAATAGAAGAATTTAACATTATTGACGAAGAATTTTTACTCGTTAAAAAACAAAACTACAGAACTTTTTTATTCATTTTTTCACTTATCGTATTGTGATTGTATTAATTCTTTATTGTAATGAAATGTATGAAAATATCTACAACAAATTAAAAAATTTGAAAATTTATGAACATAATGACATAAAAATGATAAAGTTACTTTTCTAAATTCTAATTCAATAATTATTGTCAATTCAGATTCTCTCTCTCTCTCTCTCTCTCTCTCTCTCTCTTTCTCTCTCTCTCTCTCTCTCTCTATTATTCATATAAGTATTGTATTTTATATTATTTTATATATAGTTGGCCGTTCATTTACGTATAAATAATACGTAGATGACTACTGTCCCCTTATTATTTTTTCTTAATTTAATTAAACAATCACTGTTCAATCATTAGTTAATAAAAGCTTATTTTATGTTAACTAAAGTATGCCTGAATTTTCTTGCACAGTATATTTGACGAAATTCTAATATCTTTATGTAGACGTCTGTTGAACGAATCTGAGATCAATTTATTTGCACCATCTGCTATTAAGTTTAAAAACAATTTATATGCTCTTATACAAATTGATAATTTGTACATTTTTCATTTATTGGAACATGGATTAATCGTACAATAATTCTACCGATAAATATCAAATACGTTCGATTAAAAATTATCCATCTTCCACTTACTAAGTACCACATCAACTCTACTATACATTAAGTAATATAAAATATAAATATATCGCTCTTAATATTACTCGTCGAAGCAGAATTCAAAGATTTTGTAAAATATTTACTTGTTAAATAATTGATAATACCCGGAGTTAAAGAGTTGATCGATTATCGAAAACGATAAGTAATAATTAATGTAAAATAATCGATAAATTGTTGGTAATCGTATTTCGCTCATAATATTATATAGAGAAGATAATATTACAAAGGGCGATATTTCACATATCGTTTATAATTTCTTCATAAATGTTTTCTTATATTAATCACATGTATTATGATTATCTCATACCGTACATTATCCGAAATTTTCAAAAATAAATATTAGCATCAAATTTAATCGATGCCAATTTAGTTGTCAGTTGTTTCAATTTACTGACTGATAACTCATGATAATTGTATTCAGGTATTGTTACAACTATTATTATAAATGCCGTTAAAAAAAATATTTTCTTTCTTCTTTTTTTTTTTTTTTTTTTTTTTTTTAACAGAGATCAAGGCAATCTATGATAAAAATTGACGAATAATGGCATAGAAAAATATCAAAGTGCTCGAGATTATAAGGATTTAATATCGCATTACTTCAATATATTAACGTTAATTTTGTTATAAATATTGATAATACTATGAATTCATTCAACGCTCGTTTAACTTAATTTTACATGTATTTATTTAGTCATAATTTATTAGAATAAATAAAGCGAGAGACTATACGATTTTTAATGTAAAAAAATAACGTTAAACAATAATGGGATGAAGAAGAGAATTAAAAGAGGTGGATACGATATAACAGCATTTTTATAAAAATATAGCTTTCGCAAGGGAAGATAATTATACGAAACACATGTTCCTTAATATTTTGCCACGTGTATCTGTCACATTTCTGCATTTTTCCATTCAATTCAAATCGATAATAACTTCATTATCTTCCTTTTATCTAACTTCTATATTCTACAAATTTCCCTTTCACGGTTAATGAATTTACGCAGAAATTGTAAACATGTTAGCTGCCAATTGCATACTTCACTGTATTAAGGTATTAAACCTAATTATAATAGGAGTGTTTAAAAACATACGAAGTGTATGAATAATCGAATGTTGAGAAAAAGAAAATGAAAAATTACGCGGCTCAGATGGAAATAATCGCAATGTAACGAGCACACGAACGTCGCTTATTATTAATTCGGTTATCGATCGAAATGTCCAGAGTTTGTTTAGTTAGCGATCGCTCCACGTATACTGGCGCCTAAAGCCACCTGGTCGATTCTCAGCTGCTGATAAGAAACAAAAACAAAAACAAAAACAAAGAAAAAAAAGAAAAAAAGAAAAAGGAGAAAAGACGAAGAAAGGAAAGAGGTATGGAGAGTCCTGTTGCAGTAGTTCGTCTAGTTCCGGAGGAGCTCGCTCCTCTTCATCAGGAAGGGCACTGCCGACCAGATGTCCTCGGCGAGAAGTTCGGGCTCCTCCAGGGCCGCGAAGTGTCCACCTCGCTTCATCCTCGTCACCTTCACGAGATTAACGAAACGATCGCGCAGCAGCGCCTCCGGCTGGAATATAATCTCGTGGGGGAACTGGGCGCAGGCGGTCGGCACCTTCACCGGAATACTGAAAAAGTGGATGAAGGATTAAGTAGTGTAAGTAGGTAAATCCTCGATGACTTTTCTTTCACATTACATTTGAGCATCTTTGATAAGATTTGCCTTTTGTTTTATTTAGATTTCTTACTATCGTATTGATAAACGCTTGACTAATTAATAAATTAAATACTTGACGTATTATTCGATTTAATTGAATTTAATTTAATAAAATTCACCTTAACTGAAAGGTGACGATTTTGTTATAAGAATTTTCAGCTCTTGTGTAATTGCATCCTAAAATTAATTTGACGGTTGTCACTTTCCAAACACTCACTTATTCAGTCTCATTTTCAGGATACGACTGCTGGTGGATTCCGCGTAAATGCGAAAACCAGAGGTAATTTTATTCGGTGCCCAGTACATCATAAGATTATCGATCAATTCGGTCATTTCGAATTTCTCCAGCAGATTACCATCGTCGGTCCACGCGTTTTGCATTTGCGTAATGGTCGAGAATTTTTCCAATACATAGGCGGCAAATCCTGCTGGTGAATCGGTCATACCAATTCCTAAAATACGTAACATTTTTCAATTAATGTGCGTATGCGTATGTAATCTTTATACATTAGTCGACGACTGAAATGAATAATTCATTGTGTTGTATGGCCTGTCAATTAGTAAATTAATAAAAAAGAAGAAAAGAAAAGAATAATCCAGTCTTTGTTTGTAAATGTAATAAATTGTACGATAATTAGCGTAGACGAGTGAGTTGGAAGAGACTTTGTGTTTATATTAGTAATGTTGACAAAAAAAAAAAAAAAAAAAAAAAAAAACCTTTGAATTATTTGAAGAAATAATGAATATTTAATGATTACATTACCGTATTATATTGTATTGAAAAACGATAGCTTTAGAGAAGTATTGTCACGCACGCACACAGCGATTTATGTATATAATGTTTATGCGATAAACAATGTTCTTGCATTTATTTGTCATATTAATTAATAACATTATGAATTCGTGGCTACGGTATCCAATGACGCGAGGCTCGCCGCGCCGTATCCTATCGCAGCTAAAGCTTTACAAAAGAAATCCGATGCTAAAGACGCGCCTGCGCATTAAAAATAGTTGGAAAGTTGGAACAATAATAACGCGGGAAGACGAAGAATTCGGGATTAGCATACCGAGTGTATCGGGCTTCGTCGCCTGCATGTGATAATAGCCAGTCTCAGCGATTAATGTCTGAATCTGATAACCGAGAGGCGAAGACAGGTATCGCTCCTCGTCCAACATCAGCCATGGGATGAGACTGTAGATCGCAGTTTTCGCGAGGGTCCACGGGTTCAGAACCATGCACAGGTTCAAGTGCATTCCCAACATGCTGCAAGTCAATAAGAATCGTCAAGATTTTTCCATATCATGCGGATATAATGGCAAAGGAACTATAGTGGCAAGTGAAATAGATACTTCACTAAGCTTTGACTTTACTTTGTTGCTGTTGTTGTTGTTGTTGTTGTTGTTGTTGTTATTATTGGGTTATAGCAGGTGACGTTTCAAAATCTTATGATTATAATTACTAGAGTTTTATGCTTTATCGGATGAGGTTTTGCTGTTTATTTAACGTTGATTATCTCCATGAATACTCGTTTGGGATTGAATGTATTTTTTACCGAATGAGGTGACGTAACGCCTCTCTTAGACCACCGCTTGAACACGATTCTAATATCATAAATAATTTCTTCTAAAAGTCTACAATATCGATACGTGACGTTGCGCTTTCGTTCGTTCAATGATCCATTGACTCTTTTATACGATAACAGCCAAATGGGACTAATCCCAAGGGAAAATGAATAATCTCACTGTTCAAGGATACTCACTGCTGCGGGTACAATACGGCCATGTAGGATGTGATGACGGCGCCCCAGTCTCCACCCTGGGTGTAGAACTTATCGTAGCCAAGCCTGAGCATGAGACTCTTCAGGATGAGGGCCATCTCGAAGGCACCGAGGCCGGGCTTCGCGGCTTGGCTGGAGTAGCCGAAGCCCGGGATCGATGGCGCTATCACCTCGAAGACGAAATCCCGATTCGCTTGGGGCCTCGTCAGCAATGGTATGATCTTTTGGAACTCCACGATGGATCCTGGCCAACCGTGGACTATCAGCAGCGGCAGGACGCGCAGCTTGCGATCTTTCGGCACTTGTGGCTTCACGCGTACAAAGTGGATATCCAGACCTGGCAAGCGATATAAAATTTCAGCGCTGCGTCAATAACGATTGCAAATCCAATTGAAAGAACGTTTATCCGCGCAAATAAGTGGGCCTCGTCTATTATTACTCGTACCATTGCCATAAATAAGGCCAATGATCCACCATAAAATATCGATGAGTATTATTGACGATTGGGATGGCCGACTCTCTTAAGGATATGACATTTTTAAAATATCCATTACTAGCCATTAATTTTCAATGGGCGCATCTTACGTGGACGGATCGAGGAAACATCATTATAGAAGACCAATTTTCAACGAAGAAGCAACGATTGCTTCTCTAGACACTCACCTTGGATGTTGGTCAAGAACTGGGGATATCGATTAAGGTGATCCTCGCGCTTACGGAAGTCGTATTTATTTAGCCAGAAGTCGATGATCGTCGGCACGTAGTTGCTGTTCACGCCGTATTTCCAGCCCGAGTGTTCCAACGATGGCTGCAAGTTGCGTGTGTTGTTCAATCGGAACCTCAGATCATCGATCATCTGTTGACACAAATTCGTTCTCTTAGACGATCGAGCCGCGTGGCACCTGCGCAAGCGCATTACTGCACTTGGCCAGGCTGTGAGTGACCATGGTGAACAAGGATTTGTCGTTACGATTTAACGATATACGCCCATTGGATTGGGATTCGATTGATATTAAGTGGATACCATTGAGTAAAATTGATGAAAAAAAAAAAAAAAAGAGAGAGAAAAAAAAATGAAAAAAGAAAATCAATTTTTGAATAGGTATTGGATCTTGAAATCCATAAGATTTGTCGTGAACCTTCGCGCGAGGAACGCGCGAACCGGGAAAGACGAGTTATTGGCGTTCTTGTTGTCCGACATTTATTATGGCGCATATCGCCATATCAAATGGACATTTAAGAGTTTCGGTTGGAGAATGCGGCGAGTAAGTAAAAATTTTTGTAAAAAAGGTCCACGAAAGCAAGATAAATATTATGCAACAGCGAGAGTATTGAGTATAAATGCGCATGGAGTTGGAGGGAGGACTGAATTTATTTCAAATTAAGCCAATGTGCGTGCGAGGCTAACCTCCTTCTCGAATTTGATCTTGAAAGGTCTGATGCTCTCGTCTATCTTCCGCGGCTTTTGACCCGGACCCCAGTACACCTCCTCGAGCTGCGGTATTTTGGGCTCCGAAGGCATCATGTAAATCACCGCAGCCAATACCAGGGCGATCCCCAGTATTATTCCAGTGTATGTCGTATTCATGTTTTATTCTCGTCGATTGTCCGGCGATTGATTATACGGAATGGGCTAAAGAAAAAAAGAAAAAACAAGTAGAAATTTAGAGTTACGAGAATCGTGACGGTAAGGGCTCTCCAACTTGCCTTATCTTAAATTTCTATTAAAATACAAAAGAGGTGTTGGTTAGTATGCATTAATGGCCACTCCGTTGCGTTTGCCAAATTGGCTATATTAATCGTCGAGTAGGATAAACTTAAGTCATAACTTTACCGAGATGCCTAGTCCGAGAGGCTTCGGAGTCCTTGTCGAAGCGACAATACAACTTTTATTAATTTATCGTTGTAAATTTAATAATGATTGTGTACATAATGACGTTATAAATGTCAGAACGAATATGTATCTGTGCTTAATTAAAATATGTTTAAGTAAGTGATGATTATTTCATGTTTAGACGATTAATTCAGCGCTTGGCAAAAGTTACGTCAAGTCATATCCACGTGATTATTAATATTAATACAGACACTCATACAATTGGTTAATGCAGAAAATGTAAAATTTTATCCAAATATTATATCTGCCTTATTTATAATGCCAATGCCATTGCGTTGTTATTGCTCACTTATATTTTAACCGAATTTACACAAAATTTGTCGATTCTCAAGCGTCCGTAGAACTTATTATTTAAAAGATATTTTACTCATTATACGTATTACATCAATTTCAATAAATAATTTATAATTGAATTGTCATCTAATAAGCTTTCGTAATTAAGTGAATCCTTCCTTATTAAATTCAATTACGGTCGATAGATTATGTCGTCTAATATATTTGAATGAACAACGATTACACGATATCGTCGACAAATGTTCATCGTCTTCTTCTCCAAATAACGATGTATGAGAAAGAGCTGCGAGCCTATTTATCTAAAATCTCACGTATACGATTGTCTCTAAATAAATAAGATCGGACACTGAAAAGCAAAGATGCTTTAAAAATAGATGAATCTATTAAAAAAACCACTTCCTCCCTCCCACTTTCTCCTTATTATTATTAAAATTACAAATTAATTTAAGTGTTGAATACGTGCCGCCTTGTAGAGATATTCAGTTACATTGCGACGATGAATTAATAATTTTCTAAAAACGATCCAATTATCCATCTAATAAAATACCCCATAAAATAATCGTACGATAATGTAAGATAAAACTTTTTTGAGTCATGGCCAGAACAGTAACACTCAAATAATCGGCAAGAGAACTCGAGGCTCAAACGTCATGGTGAAGTTTATCTCGTGTGACGTAATCGCTTACTCGAGACACGAGAATATTCAAGTTTGTTCATGAAAAATATTGTAGACAGTAGATGTCGGAAGGACGTAGCACGTATCATTGATATCACTGAACTTTCCGTAATCTCTTCGTTATTACGAACATATCACCGTTTCTTCGAGCCATTATTATGAAAGTCTGGGCATTTTTGTAGCCATTATTATTGCCAATGCTCTCACTTTCTCCGATGCAACGTAAAGAATTGCAGCCTATACTAACGAAATACACAAACCGACAACATTGCTAGAAGTTGGCTTGGATCCGATTTCGAGTAACTTGGTAACTTCACTTACCCTCTGTCTCCTCACGAGTTGAGGATCAAACCATTACTGACTCGTACTGCCTATCACCGCATCACTTTATACGTATCGTCATTCTCTTTTTAAAATACTTCAACACATAACCTGTACTCGTCAGACTGCTGCTGTTGCTGCTGTTGACTCCAAAGGCCATATTACACTCGCTCTGCCTCGTCGTGGATTTCATGTGGAATTCGGTTGCCATTGAACGATCGAACGAATGCCCAAGCAATGGTGGTAAAATATCGCCACGGAGTTTCTTTTTCGGCTCTCGTAAGACATCAACCAATGCCGTTATATTTTCAACCTTATCATGTAATCGGTCGTGGATCATGATTTTTATGCTCTATTGGGTGGTAGCTTGATGCCACTATTATTATCTGACATTAAAATGTAAATGGGCATAAAACGGGAGGAAGACCGGTAATGTTAGGATTTATTCGCTCGCTGCAATTATATTTTTACATACATTGGCTTCGCTTTTAGTTTGTCTGTAAATGTACAAGAAATAATGCAATAATACATGTAATGTTCATAGCATTGCTAATGGAAAAAGCGATCCATGATACATATTTATTGCTTATCCTTACATAAACTAACTAAGATTTTAAAGTAAATTATAATATATTAGAATTTTTAATACTAAATTTCCATATGAAAGACGTAAAATATCTTGTCAGCTATTAAAAAACATTATGCGGCAATTATTATACCTCATGTTTTATATATTAAATGCCGATGTTCCACATAAAATCTATAACTATGCATCAATGTAACTGCTCACCGTCAGAAAAAAGAAAATAAAAAAATATAATGATATAATGATATAATTAAGTTTAAAAATTAATTTAATGATTGATATAAGGTAGATCTCATAAAATGAAATATTTTATATTGTTAACATTTTTTTAAATTTTGCGTAATAGAAAATACTTGTGTAATTTGATGAACAAGATGTCACATCAATTTTCATACGATAAAGATATCTATACTAATCAACACACACACACGCACGCGCGCGCGCGCGCGCGCACACATAAAAAAAGAAAGAAGATTTTTGGTAATAATTGTATCGGTTTAAACATCTATATTTACAGAAGTAATGGGAAAATTCCTTCTTATTTGTAGTAATAAATTTGAAAGAAAATATTGAAGTCAATGTTTGTTGAATATATTGTGAATGCGAATGTGAATATTGTGAATGAACGTGCATATATTTGAAGTTTCTTCATATATTGTTTTACAATCAGTAGAATTTATTAAATTTATTATAACCTTCCTTCTTGAATGATACATATATGGATAATTATTTTATTTTATTTTTAAATATTATTCTCCAACATATCTGTCCATTGCATTGACACAAATACAGTAAAAATTGTAATGTAATACAATATCTTAAGCTCACGACAAGATATTATTTTTTAATAATATTTGTATTTTTGTATATCAGTTAGAGGCTGGAAAGAAAATGTTGTATTGCAGCTTCTCCAATTATGCATAGTTCTGTGTATGAATTTTCCAATGAAATCCAAGACACATACTTTTAATCTCGTTTGCAATCAAAAGTTACGATTTAACGATCTTATTTTCATAAGAATAAGTATAATATTTTTAATAAACATTGTTTCCAACTATTTTGTATAAAAAGAATACATTTTCAAAACAAATAATGTAACATAATCTTTCCTTGAGCAGCCAATAACTATTATTTAAATAAATATTCTACTTAATATTTTTCTAGATATTCATTATTAAATATTCATTATTGTATTTAATTAATAAAAACAAGCATTTTCTAGCTGTAAGCTTTTCTGGTAATAATTAAATAACTGTGTTAATGATTTTTCATCATTGCTTAACTTTATTCTACTTTTCTCAGCACTTTTTATTTCATGTAATATCGTAATTCGTTTAGCTGACTCGAGGAAATCTTTTTAAATAGAAATAATTCTTACTGATTTATACGATTGATTTATATGTGATAATTTCTTACATTTTTCAAGATGAAATAATGTACATAATATAAAAAGATCGCCAAATTTTTAAATTGATTTGTGCTATATATGGTAGAAATATATATATATATATATATATATATAAATTTTTTTTTTACTTACCTTTATATTTCACATCTTAGAAGGATGGAAAATGTATTTTAATTTATAAAATGTATTATTTTATAGCATTATAATGTTTATCTTAAAATAAGTAAACGTTAAGCTGCTGAATGATAATTCCGTATACATTGTTGGAAATGTTTATATTAAAAGAAAAAAAAAAAAAAAAAAAAAAAAAAAAAAAAAAAAAAAAAGAAAAAGAAGAAAAAAAAACGCGAATTCTTATTATACTATGTAATATTTTATATCTATAATTGGAAGAATGATAATTGTTATCATAATTAATGGCGTAGCCTTTGACATTAGCATTAATTTGTTATACAAAATATAATATGTCTGACGAAAATAAGTATTCAAGTATTTCGATTACATGTTATCGAATAACTTATCGAATATTACATTGACATTACTTTTAATTGCTATTCGATGATTAAAATAATAAGGCAAATGATATCGAGAATATGATTTGCTTTCGTAAACCTAAGCAACATATTGATAATAATTCTATTTTACCGAATAATCATAAATGTGTATTATACATAATATTTTTTTAATAGATTGCCATTGATTAATAAGAAAATAGATAACGATAAGATCGAATAACTTATATTTATATTATTTATTGTTAATCAAAATTTTATTATCGGTGCTGACCTTAAAGAAAAAATTAATTAAGTTATTGATAAGAAGCTAAAAATCACAATTGTAAAAAAACAAAAAAAAAAAAAAAAAAATAATAAAGAAGCAACAAAACAGTACTGACAATAGCGCTAATAGCTCTAAAGGCGCAATATAAGCGAATGATAATTATCGGCAATTACATCGAACGGAGTAAAAGTAAATTCGGATAAAATAAATCTCTCGCTACATATAAACTTTATAAACTTTGCAAATTTTACATTATTAATTTGTTTTAAGATTCATTTAATCGAAGATCAATCAAGGAAGTTGATGCTGACGTGATCGTAACAAGAATTTGGATGGATGATCTTCGGAAGCTTAAGAGATCTTTAGCCAATGTACTCTTTAACGATCGAGAGAATCGGCATTTGTTAACGGGGCCCTCTTTGATCATTTTGGAGCCATTGAATCCTCCTTGTTCCATTGTAAATCAACGTCTTTTATGGTTATCGACTGTCAGTAATAAGAGTTATTTTAATAATTTTGTTACCAACGACTATGATAAAACATATAATGCAATATTATGTTTGTTAATTTTTTATACTCTTACATTGGAAGAATAATTTTCATAGATAATCCACGAGCTCATTTATGCTTCATTAGACTTAACGACGAATCGATAATATCGAAGGATAA